TAAAATGATTGGCTAGAATCCAAAGTTTATGACATCTCAGGAAAAAAAAATGTGCGCTGCTTTTCAGTCTGGCCATAATGGCACCGGATATCGGTACCCATCCCTAGTCAGGTACTGGACTGACAATGAGTGAAAAGGCACCAGATATTTAAACGAAAGGTGACCTCAGAGTGACCTTCAGGAAGCCTGGAGAACTGGTCCACAAGAAACTCTTGTTAGCAAAACATACAGAAACACGGGGGTGACCCCAGACTTTTCACAGCATTGTTCATTCAGTCTGTGTCCACACAAACTATCCAGCAATTACATTAGCTCATAACTATGTTAACTTTATCTGTCCGGCTTGAGAAAATTAAAATATTTATATTTTAGAGAAAACAGGGTTTGTAGTTCATTAAGTCGGGTTTGACTGTTTCCTTTTTTTCTTCCGCCTGACTTGAAAGTCCCCATCTCACTGCCACACACACATGCACACTAATGACCTGCAATATCTTCACTCGGATCTGATACCAAGTAAAAGTCACCCTGGTATGGACGATACTGATCCGATATCAGTGTTTTGTATAAAAACCTGTGTTTGGAAAATCAAAATCAAGAGCAGTGTATCAAATTATATCTTCATAATGAATACAACACATCAGACTACTTGTTCTTGTTTAATTATGAAGAATAATCACACAAGAAATTAAAACCTGAAAAGTCAATAACTACATTTTAAAATATTCAATTAACAATCAAAACAAATGTGACAGATTGAAAAAAAAATACAGAAATATTTTTGAGTTGGATTTTTATTTTGTAAAACCTGTAATGGCAGTTTTACTGCATATAGATAACACACTGGTATAAGTTGATACTCAGCCTATATATCAGCTTTGAGTGCTCTCTACAACCTTACCTGACGATATCTAGGCCTGACGTCTTCTCAAGGACAAGCATTTTACTCCAAGCTAAACTCGTTCAGCTGTGTTTATTTCACGGTTTACCACATTTAAAAATGTTTACGTTTACATTTATTAGTACATTTGAAAAAGACGGACTCCATAGTTTTAAGGGTGTGGGCAATTCCCGTTTAAACTCTGACACAAAAACCTGACCTCGTCTTGGCTGTTTTGCAAGCTGCAATAGCTCCACGCGTCTTTATCGTTAACAGTAATAATGAGCCGTGGCTCATTTATATCAGTATTACAGTCGGAGGGGTAGCAGTCCCTACGAACTGTTTGGATAATATAGTTACTTTCCCCTGTGTTCCTGTTAATCATAAACTACAAATTTACCCCAAATTACCAAAATATGGATATTTTAATATGAGAATCGAGAGTAGAACATAAATATCGTATGGGAGGAATCACACACACACACACACACACACACACACACAGAGAGAGAGAGAGAGAGAGAGAAAGTGTGACGCTGTAACGCGTTGAGGGAAAGAAACATATGAAGGCACAGTAACGGGGTGAGGTGCAGCTTTCTCCTCCTACAAACGGACTCATTTCTCTGCCATTCAAAGGGAAGTAAGCGCAGACCTTCCGAGGACAAAGACAACTTCTGCAGGTTTTCAAAGCATCTCCAAAGGTATGTGATGGTTCTATTTATGGTTGAAGCTGCAAACATGACTGGAAGGCGTCCGGTCACAGTCGTGGCGAAACGTAAATATGCATGCTATTAGTGTTTTTTTACTCCGAGCTCCGTGACCGATAAACAGGAACGTCACGAAGCTTTCGCTGTCTAAATTCGGACTATCAGCTGAGGTTAATGGCGGACCACGAAACATTCACACACATGTCGAATAAAAAAGCATTTTTGGGGGGCGGAGGGTTATAACACTGACCCGAAGGAACAAATCCTAAACAGACTGAAGTTTGCTGAAAGCTGACTTTATGGGGGAACTTTTGTGTGGCATTGTGGGTCATCGGGCTCGGCATAACAGGCTTGTAAACACGCCTTTATCTTCTCCTCGGGGTTTGTTCACGACGAGCCTGAGGAATCACCTGAATGTGTTCCCAGCAGAGAAACCCTGACAGACTGCGGTGGACAGTTTGCATTGTTTTTGGACTGCAGCTGATCATAGCACACCCTGTTCTGCTTGGCTACTTAATAAGCTCAGCACAGCAGCAGATTCTCCACCTGCTGCAGGTTTTGGACAGAGTGTCCCTCATCTGTGATCTCCAGAAATCGACACTTCTACAGTTGCAGTCCAGAGCGCCAGCTGGTCATTGAATGAATTTTCAAAATAAGAGCGAGGTCCACTGAAGTAATGTGTATGGATATTTGGTTCTTGTGTGTAGACAGCTGTACACTGCGTTCAGCACAAGTGGCTTTGGTTATAAATGTGTTTAACTAGGATTTACTGTGCATTCATTAACCAACAAAGGACTGTGTTTGTGTTAGTCTACCTGATGGCGTCCAGCAGCTGCATCAATGTTGAGTTTTTGGATACAGCTGAGGATTCCTTCTACTTTGGAGGTAAAAGGCATTTTATACTTTCTCAGTAGTTGCTCAGTCTGTACATTTAATCATGTCATTATTATAGGTTAATTATACAATTATTAAAATTTTATTTCTATTGTCTTTTTTTCAAAATGTGAACGCGTCCTCTGAAAATCTAAAAGTGGCTTCACCGGGTAAAGGATTTTAATATTTCTCTTTTTTAATTTCATTTTAGAATATGATAGCAGAGTAGTATTGTGAGGCGTGATGTGAAGCTCATCGTCGTGTTGTTCTCTCAAAAATACAGATTTGGAGGAGGATGACTTCAAAAAGTCAGGAGAGTATCATTGGTCCATTGAGAGCAAGAACGGTGCTGGATACCTGATTTTAAACCAAGAAGACACATTCGTGCTCCAGACCTGCTGTGGTAAGACCAGAGGTGGGTCGAGTATCCAAAAATTGTACTCAAGTAAGAGTAGCGTTACTTTAAAATATTATTACTCAAGTAAAACTGAAAAGTAGT